GGTTGCTACATAATTAATCATCAACCCACTTTAGATGTTTCCTGTCATTCGCCTTATATATATACTTTCCTTAATACGTAAGATCAGTGTGAGTAAACAGATGTTCGGTTAATTCAAGATTACAGATCGACACGGCGATAATTAATGTCGCATCTAAAATTTGGAGGGCGCCTAAAAATCTATAGTTGTCCCAGGGGTACTTGCAATGGAAATGTGTCTCGAAGTTTCGTTTCGGTCAATTTTCTTTCGTTTTAAAGGGAATTACGCGCTTACGTTAACAATTCAAGCGACGATCTTTGATTCAAATGAAGGACCGAGACTTGTCAGTTAAATTTTATGGATTGAAAGCGCTTTTTTCATTTATAGCGTAACAAGTCGTATCGATCCCTTTTTTACTTTAAGGGTAGATAAATCCATTACTTTCGCAAAATACTCGAATGAGTTTGAACGTTCAGGTGCGAAGGGGTTACGCTAATTCTTTCTATAATTTTGGTCCAAAGTGTAACCGTTAGTTACAAAATTCCTGCCAGTACTATTTAATTTTGGTTCTCCAAAACTGCTACAAATACATGATTTCAGTGCTGTTCCATTTTTGCACGCAATTTTGCACAACCCTATAATAGAGTAGTTGAAACTAGGATGTTCATTATTTTACTTTTTCTAAATTCTACGCGATTGTACAGAATTACGCAATCCGCCGGTAAACAAAACATCATTTGTATGCGCATAAATATCGGCGACTGAATTACTTTATGCAGCGTACTTCTAATGCGCATTTTTTAGTTTTAGGGTTTGGTCTTTTAAGACTTCGACTCTCCGTAATTCCCCTCATTTCCTCTTCTGAAATTTATTCGTTATCATTAAAAGATTCAGTCTTACAGTTCGAAATTGCAGTAGAGTCGCCAAAAGACACTTTGATCGCACGCGTCTTAACGTAAAAAAACATTTTCTTTATCATCGAGTATTTCCTATAAAGAACTACACTGGTAAGTTTTTAACTAAAAGTTAACAAAAAAAAAATAACGCCGAGGATAACAAATAATAAAAAATCATTTTAACATACCTTCTTGTAAAATACGCTAGTAAGATGGTTTCATTGATAACACTGTCACCTTTTTTTCCTTCATCCAGGCTTCCCAAGATGAAAACTCCTTTTCATATCGGTCTTTAGACTTGCTTGGGATCAAACCCAACACAGCTTCATCAGCTTCCACTAATATTTCGGAGGGAAGATATATATCCCATACTTTTAACTAACCCTGTATATAGTATTTTGAGTTCTGTAAGTTTGATGGTTATTTAAATCTTAGAGACACCATTTGAAAATCGATTAGTAATAATTATTTGAAAATTAATAATTTCCTTTGCGCGTTTTAGTGTTCCTGAGGTCGCTCTATTTACTAAAACTGCTGATAAAAGAAAATGAAGAACCATTCCTTAAGAATTCCGTCCGAAACACATTTTTGTGTACTTTGACCACAATTCATTCGAAATATGTGATTCAATTCTAGAAAAAACAAAAAAGTTTCTCTCGTAATGAATTTTACTCTGCGCGGATAATTAATGCGCGATTTGGAAGGGACTGTTACAACTGCATTAGTACCAGATTAGTTATATGTTAGTTATGTCACATTAGTTACTGTTTGGTTTCACTTAAAATGGCGGGTAGTTCTGCCGGTAAGGTAGAAACATCTGCGAGTGTCTTTCTAATTTCTAAATGGTGGTGGACCTTCACAAATTAATTGCAATATTGAAAAAATCCAAAATTCAAGGTTCCCACTCCGAAATATCGATGTCGAAAGCACAATCCGGTAGTTAATAATGAAGTAAATCGTAAATCAAAAGCAAGAAGTAGGAAAAAAAGTTAACTTCTAAAATAAATCCGCAAATAGCGTCAACGAAGCTTGGAAGTAGAATAGCGAGAGAATTTAATTTAACACAGCGCCAGTATTTCCCAAAAATGATCGACAAAATTGTCAATTAAGCAATGGCTTGTATCGTCTTGAAAGTAATAATCATGCGTCTTGTACAACGAGTGCGCGCGTGGAAAGAAATTAAAGAAATTTCTGCGCGACCTCGTACGACAACAGAATGAACGATTCAAAGAAATCTATATCAAGAGAATAAAGAACTATAAAACTAACTGTAAATCTAACTACAAAGAAGTTACCACGATGGCGTAAAGTTGTAAGGATTTAAATAAAGCGTCTCATTCAGATGAAAGCACCCAGCAAGCGAAATCCAGATCGATAATATCAAACGACAAAAAAATCGCCACAAACTTTCCACCTTTTCGGTGGAATTTGGGGTAGAATGCGCGATCATCTTAGATGATTGGTGGCTTCTGTCAGGGGGGGGGGGGGGCTAAGGGAGTGTACATCGCGGATTATTGATTACTTGCACCCGACTTGGCCGGGACTACCGTAGTTTTGCGGGCGAGTTCTAGCTATTTAAACTGTCACTGTTCCCTCGAGCCGCCATTTGGTCGTCTCCAGTAAGACAGTAAGACCCCTCTTGTAATGTGTCAAATTTCTTGTTTTTTGAGTTTCTCGAATTTTTATTTTTTTAACATTTATTGTCCGTGTATTTCTTGTATTTCCAACAATGTTGGATGAGCTATTACACCCGTCTGTTTGCCCGCGGTTTCTTCTCCAACAATTTTGAATACATTTAGTTTGCTCTTTTTGTATTGGGTAGCTTATAGCTATCTTGACGGATAATAGCATGTAACGACTGTGCACTGACAACTATATTATTTACGGAGATATATTCCGAATCTAGTCAAGACAAGCATATCGCATATTGTAACAATTGGATGTGCGCATGCGCAAACTACGCGATGTCAACTTGCGTATTATTGGAGATATTCCACCAGACACGCTTTTAGAAAACAAACACCGTATATAGCATAAATAGAATATGCGCATGCGCATTGCGCAGTCTGTGCAGCATCAACTTTCTTGTTTAACCCAAAAAAATAGTTGCGTCTTGCTTGTGCCCGTTGATCCTTTGGAGAAGTACTGATGTATGCATGGAAAACGTCCTAAGGACGAAGACCAGTTTTATTGTTTGATAACCTTGTTCGGCCTTCTGAGATTCCATAGATCCGGAGCCTAACAAATATTAGCAATTTTTCAGATCTAGTGTGTAATGATCTTAGCCTCCTACTATCTTGGCGGTCTAACGCCAACTTCAAGTCACGCCGGAATATTGGACCATATTCTAGGCGCTTTCTTTCGGCTGCTTAGCAATCATGATTTCAAAATCGTGATTCGTAGGAAAGAACGCGCGAATTTAAATCAAAGTATGGTTAAGTTTACGTAGTATACATTTGCATTCGAATTACGTATTTTTTGTTTGGATTATGAAAATAATTTAAATACAAGTGGAAGTACTTGCACAATTATGCCCCTCTTCAGTTACAAATATTGACTAATCGAACATTTGAGCAAAAATATCCTTGAACGTGATTTGACAATCCAAACGCGTTTGGATCACCGAAAGAAAGCGCCTTCTGTAGTAGCGGGAATGCCAAACTAACATGGCTGCCTATTTGAATATCCTCGCTTAAGTTTCCCGCGAGAATCTGTCACTCGGGGGCCACTCCGAGTGTACTAAGATCGTGATCGTGATGTAGGACACCTACGTTGTGTAATAACTGGGTTCTCAGCAGGCACTGAGGGCGTTTTATGGGTAAGGAACACTAAAAGCAATAGCCGATTAGGATTATATTGAAGCTAATACCAATATCAATACGGCGCCCCTGCAGAGGGTCTTAAGTGGTTCTACTACTCCGGTATTTACCTTACGAATTAGGAAAACTGCAGGAAAACCTAATTCGGAGTAGTCCTATAATGAACAAAGCCTACAGCTAACATCTAATGTACAGCAGTTTTGAGCCCTCTCGACACCGGGGTAAATACTACATATACGCTATGAATAACCAAAATGGAATCGAGCCATTCCCCAGGTAGTACAACACATACATCAGACAAAACTAAGAGATATTAAATATGCCTCGCCGGACGGTAGGATTACCCAGGCCCAGTGGGCTGCCTGTAGGGCTAAAGTTGTTGGGTTTCGGAACGAGTGAAAATGTTAGTGTTAGGTTCACCAAGTCCCGTATAAACTTGAACTTGATCCCCTCTAAACAAGCACACTTCCCTCTTGATTACTCACAGCCCCAAATAAGCAAATATAATGAAATACAAGGAAATAATCGAGAGTCACTAAAAATCACAATACACAAATAGGTACACATGCAAGTAGGTACAGAACAGATACAGCCCTACCAACAATGAGACATGATTGCCAATACACTGAACACATGTTAAATCGTATTTATTGACTACCCCAAGCGATTCTGTAACTTGATCTCTTAACACCCCTAAAAACCACCCGAAAATCGCCCGTTCCCTGCATTTCACGCATTTCTAGGAAAAAACTGGACTGCAGGTGTTTGAAATGGTAAACACGTGGTCTTCCGAGAAATTCCATCCGTCTCACCTTCGCTCTCTTTCCCTTTTCTGTAATCCCACCAGATTTCGGTTGGCAGCTTGTGTAACTAACATGATGTATAGGGTGCTTCGTATCGACAGTCATATTCACAGGACGCTGCTAAGGTTGGGGCATATAAAGTGTTCGCAATGTCATAGACTTCTGCGTCTTTCAAGTACCTTTTGAACCTTAAGCCATCTTTGAAGGTATACCAGATATCATGTTAATTTTGGCAGTTTGGCCCGTGGTCGATTGTAGATCGCGCTCTGACAATAAGTTCCCTGTCCCACAATTAAAGTAGACATGTCGGTTGTAATACCGCGCTCTCCCCAGTTACCTGCTGTGGATTTAAGGGCGCCCGGCGGTATAGCCGCGCTCTTAATTAAGTTTCAAGGCTAAAGTACTCAATGGCCAGTCTTCAGATGGCAACTTCTTCCGTTTCGGAGATTCGAACTGGTGAGCTAGACTTCTAGATCTCTTTACAGAGAATGTAGGGAAATCTGGATGCTTCATTGCCTTTATTTTATTATTCTCTAAGTACACTAACCTCAAACTACACAAAAGTGTGCATTATTTTATCAGAAGGAAGGTAACGCCTTCTTTACTGCTATAAAGCTACTTATACATAAATGATGGGATCTGGATCTTCGCATAGCACGGGTTCGTTCTTCGCGTTCTCATTAATTGTCTCCTGGACACATTTTGTCACCTGAAACAGCTTGTCGGCGAGGTCCCTAGTATTATTATGGGCACTATGGCACGCATCCACTTGTTCCCTGCTAATCATGGGATACTTCGATAGAGCGGCGACGTTAATTTCACCATCAACTGACATAATACCCGATTTTTGGGCCGCGCACTGGGTAAAGATTTTGAAACAAGCAGACGAGGAGTATGTTCGATTTGCGAACCATTTGGCGACTTCGTCCGGATCTGCACCAGAGGCGCACATGCATTCGGTCAGAAACGGCTGTACTTTCTTGTTTCGTTCTTCCATATGCTGGTCGAGCGTCTCGGCCTATTTTAAAGCGCAACCGTTATAAAGGGCGTCGTAATTTGTACTCACCGTCAAAAGCATAAACGCCACAATGAAGAGCATAATAGCATGAATTTTGTCCATAATTAAATCCTGCGCTCCAATCAGAGGTTACTGCCACTCAGTTTGGAAGCGGATGTATAAAGAAGTCTAAATTTGAGGTAACATTGTTTGCATCGCGTAGTCTTATCTGTGTGTGAGCGCAGATAGTTGCCATGGTAGATGAGAAAAACGAAACAATTGCGACGTAAAGTGGAGTCTCCATCTCGAACTGTTATTTTCGCAGGGTAAACAGAAACATATTTGTCTAAGGATAGTGAATGTTTTGAACTTATGGACTCTTTTCCGATTGCTAATTTTTTGATTTTTTTTTACTTTTCCGACAGTTTGTGAATTTTTCTGGATTTTAAAACTTTTGTTTTCTTTTTTGAGACTTTCGGATTTTCTTTTAATTGTTTAGGTATTTCTGAGTGATTTTTGAGTGTTCCGAGTTTTTAGTAATTTTGCTCAAAATATGCTCAAAAGCCAGAGGATACATATTTAGGGTATATATTTAATTTACTCTGTGTGAATTTCTATTTAATATTCTAAGTTATCTTTCTGATTAGAATACACTTTTATTTTTCTGTTGTAAGGAAATTTAACGCGCACAGTAATTTTCCTAAGTGGGATCGAAAGCAACAAAACAAAAATTATCAATATCTATGGGGAAACAAATGCAGGAAAGTGAAACAATGTCTCCCTTTATAATTAAGGAAACGAAAAGTAGCAAAATAGCTTACCTTGCAATTAAACGGGGTGGTACAACTTACTTTGCAAGGAAAAAGCAAAACCTGTATACACAGTGAGGCAAACGTAATGTAATTAAGGGCAAGAATGCAAACTAAACTTATATACAGAAGAAAACGACGGTTTTTCTAGCCGACTTCACCGCGTATTCGGTTATCGAGATACCAAAATCAAAATTTCTCTAACTTATTTCTCGACTTCTGGTCGTCATATAAATCGGGAGAAACTTACAAACAGCTGGAGAAGTTAGAGCGCATCGAGGGACATCTCACACGGCCGATTTCGATAACGTTTACTGCAACACATTTAATTAGCTACTGTTATTTACACTTACTTAATTGGCCGAATTGGAATTTCTAAAGTCGGTACTATTGTTAATTCAAATTTCTCAGGCCGACATGAACGTCTCTTATAAACTTGATAACGGCGTAAACCTCCACGGCCTTGCAATTGCTCGTTTTAAATTAACATAAAAAACAAAAACCTGGTAATGATGGCTTAACAGAACTGAAATATTGTAAAATATTAATTTGGCCTCGTCTTCTAAATGACTAGAGCTTTTGGACGCAATAAAAACAATTGAAATATCTTGACGAGAACAGTTGCAAACGACGTTTTAATTACAGGTTTTATTTAAAGTAGCGGCGGCTGAAACACAACTCTTTTTCGGCACCTCACTTTTGTGATTTTTTTAGGATTTTGAATCATTGTGCCAAAACTAGCCCCTTGGCGGAGAAGGATTCAACTAAATTAACTATATTCTGATTGATTCTTGTTGCTCAAGGAATGCTCTTTTCAACGATACCAAATTTGTTACAATCGGTCAAACGCGCCACGCCATCTTTGTTTTTGAAGTAACTGAGTTTTTGTTTTTACGAAAATGATATATCAACTGGTTCTCTTTAAAAATGTGAAAAAAGAATGTTTAGTTTATTATGCCAAATTTAAAGAAAATGCAATTTTAAAATTTAAGATGGCAGTTACGCCCTCTGGTGGTCATTTTTAGAACTTGAAAATATTTTCCTGCGATTCTTCATCACCGCTTTACCCATAATTCTTTTTACCCCTAAGTCATACGACGAACGGTTTCCGACATATGGCCGAGAAACGGTCTTATTGGGTCACCTGGTACTATTTTTTTTTATTTCTTTGAATTACGAATTTTTTTACTTTCTGGGCTGTGCATTTTTCGAACCTTTAGTTCTTTTTCAAAATTTGATAAATCTGAATTTATTTCTGAAAAAAGTTCATAACATTTTTTAAATATTGGGGCCGATCCCTTTAACCTTCATATTTTTTTTTAGTACTTTTAACTTTCTGATTTCAAATTTTTTTGAATATTTTTCAATAATTCCCTTCATATTACCTGAGTTATTTCAATCATTGTTCTTCACTTCCAGCAGACTTTATGGAACTTTTATTTACCTGATGGTAGCGATAGATACTTATTTTTCTTTAATTTTTTTTAAATTGCAATTTTCTTACATACAATTTTTTTTTCATATAGCGCGTGCACTAAATTATTCATTGAGGAAGAGAAAAACCTTTTCCAAAACAGTTCTAGATTTTTTTTAATTTTTCGAATTATTAATAACCAACTTTCACATTTTTTTGCAAAATTTCCAAATTATCTTTGAAAAATATGTGAGTTTTCCTCAATTTTTCCTTTAGAATTGCGATTTTTTGTAAAATTTTTACTTTTTTGAACCCTTTTTTCTTTACCAAATCACTGAATTTTTATTTTACTTCCGAATGTTTGGATTTTTGAGGCTCTGTTTTTTTATCGTCTTTTCTGTATTTTTTGCTTTTTTGTGTCTTCTTGATTTTCTTTAATACTCCAACACTTTAGTAAACTTTCCCTTTCGTTGCATACCTTTGGGGAAATTGACTTATTACTCCTTGAGTGTGAATTTTTTTTATTACTGGACTGCTTTTTTACATAGGTATATTTTTAATTTTGAATTTGTTGTCTACATTTTTTGCATTTATTGTTTTTTTGGATTTTTTTTTGAAAATGTATTGCTGTTTTTATTTTTGTTTCAGTGATGAATTTTGATTAATCAATCACTCGCCAACTATTCCCTTAAACTTTCCACGCGTGAAAAATTAAGAAATTAGCAGAGAGAGTTTCATTAAACAAATTTGTGCAATTAATGATAAATTGAACGAAGAGCTCAAATTTGTATAACCGCCCAAAATTATTTTCGTCTGCGGTTTAACGGAGGCATCGTTAATATTTCGATTGAGATATTTTCCATTCGGGAACGTTTCCGTTTCCGAATTAGAAACCTCATCTGAATAACATCAAACATATTTTCCTTTGGGAAACCTCAACAATTTCATCTCCGCAAATGGAGACTTTTTTACGAGATAGCATTTGGACGATCTCTGCCGGCCGACTCCGAATCCCGGTTAATTTCTCGGCAACTTTATAATTAGATTACATTTCTTATTGGTTCGTACACTCGTCGCACTTACAGTAACATTCCGTGCAGAAATCAGCTTGACCTCATTGTTTCGGGCACTTTGAGAGTGAATTTTTACTCTGTGAGTACGAGTTCAAACTAGACTTACGCGGTATTGACTTTATTGTAGAGGGCGCTGAAGAATGAAGCTGAAATAGAGGTGTGAGTTCAGGACATTGCAGTCTAAGGTAGGGGTCGTGCACCGAAACCTTTGGGGCTACCAAAAGGCTTTGAAACTTGTCTTCAAATAACTGGAGGTCTTGAAAACTTTGAGGATCTTGAGGATCTCCAAAATCTTTAGGATCTTGAAGATCTTGAGGATCTTGAAGATAAGGACCTTAAAGATGAGGATCTTGAAGATGAAAATCTTGAAGGTGAGGATCTTGAAGGTGAGGATCTTGAAGGTGAGGATCTTGAAGATGAGGATCTTGAAGGTGAAGATCGTGTAGATGAGGATCTTGAAAACGAGGATCTCGAAAATGAGGATCTTGAAGATGAGGATCTTGAAGACGAGGATCTTGAAGATGAGGGTCTTGAAGATGAGGATCTTGAAGGTGAGGATCTTGAAGATGAGGATCTTGAAGATGAGGATTTTGAAGGTGAGGATCTTGAAGGTGAGGATCTTGAAGATGAGGATCTTGAAGATGAGGATCTTGAAGATGAGGATCTTGAAGATGAGGATCTTGAAGATGAGGATCTTGAAGATGAGAATCTTGAAGATGAGAATCTTGAAGATGAGGATCTTGAAGATGAGGATCTAGAATCTTGAAGATGAGAATCTTAAAGATGAGGACCTGAAGATTCCAAAGATCCCGATGACCCTGATAATCCCTAAGATCCTGATAATTCTGACGATCTTGACGATCCTGAAGATACTGAGCATCCTGAAATCCCGAAGATCGTAAATATCCTCACGGTCCTGAAGATCCTAAAGATTCTGAAAATCTCTGTAGAGTTAAAACCACGAAGACGCGGAGAATTACAAAAATTTTTAGCACTCATACCCTGAAGCTGGATCTTTAAGATAATGAACGTGACTGCGACACTGTGGACGTGGAAGGCTAGACACCGACAAGTCAACCAATTACTCCCTGCTATCTATTTACTTTTATTCAGGGTAGTTTGCTGACGTTCCTGTCGCCCTGACACAAGGGGAGTAACACAATAGAAAAATACTAAGGAATAAATTGCCTTTTTTTAAGATCAGGTGAGTAAAACTTCTCGGCAGGAATGCGCCATGACGGCTTTCATTCTTAATCGCCGGTGACTAATGTTTTATTGCGTCTTGATGGCGACTGCTGGCACCCCGATGTCTCGAATAGTCGCTAAAGTTTATATCCATTCAAGTGATGGTAAGAAACGAATACGAACTATATCAAAAGCCAAAGAAATTTGATGGCAACCTTTCTAACCCCTAACATGTTATGAAAGCAGTAGAAATTTGTTGTAGAATGTCGAGGTCACTTAACAAAAGGTAATGAAACTTGCGAGATGTTGAGAATTACATTTTAACCTTTTTTTTTGCAATTTAATTCTTTTGACAGTTACTATGTCAAGCAATACGAAATTCGGTTTTCGAATATGACTCATTTTGTAGATTTTCGGGTGTCAAATTAACCTTTAATTTGAATATTTTCGGACGATTAATTAAATCCTTGGTTCTAAGCTCATTTTGAGTAATTCCCGAACAGAAAGTTTCAAATTTTTGCACCAAACAGTACATTTTCAAGCATGGGACTTTTTTTTTGTTAATTGCTTATTGTTTCCTTCGAGATGTAGGTTAAAATTTTTAGCCATTTTTGGGGTCCCAAATCAATTTTTTTAGCAATTTATTTTTGTCAAAGGTGTCAAATTAAAATTTTCGCCTGATAAATTTTTATGGAGGTTTATTTTTGTGCAAGAGATTGATACTGTCAAACCCAATTATGTTTGAATAAAGAAGTACGAAGTAGTAGTGAGAACGGTTTTTAGAAAACTCACCTGGGCAACTCACACAGCGCCCTGAAGGTTTGTATTCCATGACATTTTCGATTACTTATTCAACACTTAGAACGCTCGACACGCCAGAGCAGGTTCCGTTTTCTTACTCGAATGAGAAATTTATACCACCCTCCAAAAATATACAAATACATTTCCAATTAGCGTATCTGCCCACCGCATTTTTATATGGACCCATCCGCAGAAATTAACGATCAAAGGAACTTTATCGAGGTTGGATACATATAATTGGACGCGAAACCGTCATATGTTTACCTTAATACGCAAACGATTCCTAATTAAACGTTGACAATTAGGAAAATACGGAGATATAGATTTTCAGTAGGGGATTTTTTGCCACTTAACTCGCAAACCAGACTTTTAATACGGCTCATATATTCAAAGGCACTTGCTCCTTGAAATCGTTGAAGTTCGGCACGATTTCGACTACCCTTATGCCTTAGGCTAGCTTATGCCGAATACAGCGTTGTAAGAAGTAAAGTAGTGGGATATTTGTTGATCACCAGGTCACTAGTGTTGAGACTTAAGCGAAATTAAATCAACCACCTATAAATTACCGTAGGGTGTTTTTTTTTTCCAAAAAAGCAGTTGCGCTTAGAAGTGCGACAGGGTTAAAACAATTACCTGTAATTTAGTGCCGGGTGACTACTGCTTTTCTGGGACTTCATGTTGAAGGCTTCGCGTTATGCAAGACCAAAGCTGCAGGCTAGTTCAAGCACCTGAATAATAGCGAAAGGTGGTTTTATATATTTATATTGAGAATTAGAAACTATTACGGTAAATACGACCAATAGCAGAAGTTTTTAATATCCGTATTTAAATTCTGTGACCCTAATAACTCAAGAAAAACGGATTGAATTGAAGTTGTAATTGTTGTTACAATTGTTGACACAAATTTCCGGCTGGTGGGTTTATTTGTGAAATTTCTCCATCAAACTTCATCGTGGTTAGTAAGTACGTTTGGATCTACCCTTCGTACTTCTAGTACCAGGCTATCTCCGGTAGAAAAGGAAAGAATGCAATTTATTTTCCGTGGCTCACTATTGGGATCTCTCCCACGGCGTGAGATGCAGTGTGGGTTAAAATTCTTAAGAAAATCAAAACCAAATTTGACATTTTTAGTTTTTTTGTGGTATTTCAGTTATTTTCAAAGATTTTTGAAAAATGTTAAATATGTTTTTGTAGTTACAAAAAGGGACAATCTAGAAATTTGAATACTAGAGTATATCTGGAGAGGTTATCGTGCTTCTAAAATAAAATCCTTTTAATCCCCTTGGATAAGAGCAAACATTCAGCCAATAAATTATCTCAAACTGATCACATTTATTATAACTAAACAATGAAATCAATAAATTCATTGCAATTACTCTAAAAAGATAAAAACCTAATTTAATGAACTAAAAAATATCCCTACTGGTCAGATAATTAATTAATTTTAGTAAACAATGTCACAAGTAAAATCTAAGCCATCCTTCATGAAAATTTCAGGAATAAAGCACATTTCTCGTTTAGATAACCATAATCAAACTAGAAATTATTGCATAAAGCTATTTGCGGTATGTGTGCCCTTTAAGGACTATATCACCCTAAGTTCTCAATGGGAATTAAAAAAATTAATGCCATATGATCGTTTACACGCCCTTTAGAATAGTTAATTTCTAAGTCTAATCCGAACGTTCCCATCAGATTAGCACAAATGTCAGTCCACTCGACCCCCCGATTATTACCTGCCAATGTCACATAGAAAACGAGGGTCGCGCGGAACGTTCCCATCAGATTAGCACAAATGTCACAACAAACGGGCGCAAGAAATCCACTCGACCCCCCGATTATTACCTGCCAATGTCACATAGAAAACGAGGGTCGCGCGGACAATCGCAACTGCGTGTGTACCAATTGTTCGACAATTTCGGGACGAAATCGCCTTTGCGATTGAGATCTTCTGCATCTGCCGGTAATACGAGTAGGGTATAATGACGAAATTTGAATTGGAAGGAAATGGGACCGAATTGTAGATAAGAAAACATCGACAGAAATGTGTCATCCCTTTTAAGAAGATTGGATTACGTTAGTTTTGGAGACGGCACCTCGCCCGAATATTAAATTCGTTTGGATAACCTGAAAATTTTTAAATTTGCGGTCATACGTGCGAACTGAGGAGGGTCGAATTCTGGATACACCTTTTCGGTTAAGTAAGGAATGCTGCACGCTCAGATATTAAATTGGTCTATGTGCCTTTTTGCCTGGTATATCAGCGAATGCATTTCTGTAGGTTAGTGGAACACGAGTAAACTATGCAGGAAATTGTTCACCCTGTAACGAAGTCTCTTATTTTAAACTTTCACTAGAGAAGGGTTGAAGGATGTTCAAACTTCACGACATAAAGCTATTTAAACATGGTTCTTCGAGAAAAAAACAGTAGAAGTAGGACTGATGGTCCTTTCCCCCACTCTTTTTAATTCGAGAAGCCAATCAAGGTTCATTAGATTGATTCGCTGTTTCGGACACGTAACCCATGCTCTTTTCGGGGACTTTGATTATTTCTGGAAATTTTGAATAATTTCGCAGAATTTGATTTTGTTCAATTGATTAATTTTGGGGCTCGATTTAATTAAAATGTTGAGAGAATCGGATCAATTTTTACCGACTATGTGGCTCAGTGGCAGAGCGTTGGGCTGCATATCCGGAGGTCGGATGTTCGAACCTGGGCTGAGGTAAGAGTTTTTCATCTGTGGCAGATATGGGAATTTCTTCAGATCAGTTTCGAGCATTCTGCCGGCTACTCCGAATTAGGTTTGCCTACAAATTTCCTAAAGCTATAACCCAGACAGAAATCACATGTAACAACTCTTCGATCACAGACTTTAACATACCTCTACTTAGTAAGAGCTATTAGAAACTAATAAAATAATATTACTGCAACGATTGATTTAAATCGGTTAAAACATCATATAAAGTGAATAGAATTTCTAAAAAATGTACGAGACATTGAATAATTCCGCAAATGGCGGCCACTTACGTATTGAATAAGTTCAATTTCATAGCCTCCAAAAATGACATCTCGAACGAATGTTCTCGAACAAACACGTCACATTTCCCGGAAAGGTTTCGTCACATCCACCTTCGTCCTTTATCGCCGATGACTCATGGACTTCAATATATACACTCCGCTGAAGTTGTCCACCAACGTGCTCGTAAAGAAGGAAATCCCGTCCTTCTTCTTGTTCCCCTCTCGCTTTCTCGCGTTCTTTATTTTCTCTATTTTTTCTCGTTTTTCAGTTTCTTCGTCTTTATCTCTTTCTTGCTCTCGAGCTTCACTACCGCATTCACTTTATTTTTCTTCATTTCTTTCTTTCATTCTTTGTGTCCCCTCCCTCTTTGCTCTTCTCGCCCATTCCCTTGCTACTGCTATTGCTCTTCTCTAATGGTTTCGCGTCTTTCTTCATTTTTTTCTCATTTTTCTAGTTAGTTCTTAGCCTTTCCCTTTTTTAGTTGTCTCCTCCATTCTTCTCGATCCGCCCTGCGTTCCCTTTTCGCTCCTCGTTTCTGCCCTCGATCTTCCTTAGATTTTTTCTTTAATTTCTTTTGTAATTTATGTCATCGTTCAGTCCCTCGCTTCTACTGCATTTAACCATGTTTTTTCTAAATTTTTTTCACCTTTGTCTCCACCACCACTTGCATCACGATGTTATTGTCAAGTATTTCCTTTTGATTATTACCTTATCAATTCTGCTATTCTGTGTTCTCATTTTTCTTCTCTTTCCCTTGATC